CGAGGGCGGAGGGGCGTGGCGAGGGCGGAGGGGCGTGGCCCCAGGTAAGGAGCGACGTGGAGCCACGAAAGGGAGTGCGCAGAGGTGAGAGAGGAGGCGCGCTGAGGAGAGAGCTGTGGCGAGTGCTCTGAGAGTGGGAGGCTGAGGTGAAGACCCTGAGGCGGAAGAGGGGTACTGAGGAAAGTGGCTGAGGTGGGCGAGTGGGGACGAGCAGATGCACATCTTGATCGAGATCCTCGTGTTTGGAGGACGAATGTGCGGGTCCCTGGACCCTGCCCCGGGCTTCTCTTTCCACTCGAAGTGTTTCGCACCTGGCGCCCTCGTCGGTCCCTGCTACCTCGGTGTCCCTAAGTTCCCTCTCCGCGATGCCTCGCTTGCCATGTGCCACCCTCCTGTCTGTGACTGAGACACCCAAGGTCCATTCAGGATGGAGAGTAATTTTTCGTCGTCTTAACTTGAAGTTTTAAATACACCACAGAAGCCAAACATATTTGAGTTCAGTTTTTAAAATAGAAATTTGAGGCCAACCTTCGTGCCAGCAGAGCCATCGCTGGCAGCGTCATCCTCCTCCCCTTAAATGGAGACTGACTGTTGCGGAGAGTCATGAAACATTTGAAAGAGCATCTGTCGAGGTGGAGGCTGTGATGGATCTTGGACGAATATCTGTGCAAACAGTTCTTTGGGTTCAAGACCTAGAACAGGGCGACCCTTTTTCTCCTGTCTGAATCATTTCGCTGCAATAAATAGCAAAAATCCCCACAGTAACAGTTGGCATTTTGTAAGACTCACCCCCACCCCTGCAGGTGGATCGTTTAAAAAGTCAACAAATAACTGCTATGGCGCTCCAAAATCTGTTATTTTCCAGAAACATAGCCTGTCCTTCTTGTTATATGGAAATTAATGTTCAGTTGGAGGAGGAACTGGTTAGCGATGACAGGCTTTCACTCTGAAGCCTCACCTAAAGTAATTATAGTAACTTTTGAACAACTTGTTTGAGGAAGACATCAACAGTGCACAGAGAGCTGCAAAGAGCACAGCAAGATGATTTAGGGGAATATAACATATGTAGTTTGGTGTAGTGACAGCTGGGAGAGAGAAATGTTCATAATATTTGAAGGTTGTGTGCAGTACACTTAAAGAAAGAAACGGAAACCAGCTGAGTAATGACATATTCATGAAGTAAGGATTAAAATCTTGTTTGGCTATCATATTGACAGATCTACAATTTTAAAAATGTTTAAAAAAGAAAACACAACAAAATCTGGGGGTAGTTAAAAAGTGCACATAAAGACCTCTCCACTTAGATCAGGACAAAAGAAAAGATTTGTCTTTCATATCATGTAAAAATTCTCAATATGATGAGGGTGGCATTTCAAATCTGTAGGGAAGCGATGAATTCAGTGAATGGTGTTGGAACAACTAGGTAGCCATCTGGAGAAAAATAAAATTGGAACCATACTTTACACCTTATACCAAAATAAATTCCAGAGAAATAAAAAAAGATTAAATCTGAACAATAAAAGCACTAGAAGAAAATATAGAACAATTTTTAAATTATTTCATACTAACATCTTTTTAAGTATGAAAAAAAAAAAACTCAGAAGCCATAACAGACTGTTAGTTACAACTATATTTTAAAATGCTGGGGCGCTGGACTCCCACATGGCCTACCATCATTCGAGACCCAGATCACACCAGCTTTGCACCCTATGGCAAAAATCTTAAAGGGGGAAAAAAAAGAATAAAATGCTACTTTCCTATCCACGATGCAGAGCATGGCAAGTCAGAGCTTTTGTGTCAATTACTAACCTAATAATATAACTTGCCAGTGTTTAAAATCCTTCAGCGAGTCCACGATGTCTATATAAAAATCTTAAATTTAGTGTCATTTTTAGGATAGCCTAAGAAATGAAGAATTAGGCAATGGGATTACAAAGACTGGAATTTTAAACCATTACGCTTTACTGCCCCTCTGTGGACAACCACCTTATAACCAAATAAAAACAGTTCTCCACATGCAGTTAGGCTTTGGCAGACTGGTGCTTGCGACTACATTAATATATTATTGGAATTTCAAGAACTCATATTTGAAAATGCTGTAGCAGAGAACAAAATAAAGGCTTACAACACGCAAAAATAATTCACTGGGTAGATTTCCCCTTTAATATCGTTAATTCAATAAGAAAATATTTATTGATGCTCAACTATTTGTCAGGTACTATGTCTATAGTCTATCTCACCATGTGAATATTTTCATTTTCCTCCATAGTATGGCTTTATGATTGAATAACAACTTCGTTTTAGAAATTAGAGATAATGAATTACTCCAAAGACAGATTTAGAGACGTTTTCCCTGACACCATTTGCTCATATTCTGAAGGTAATAGAACTTAAAAACTTCTTCCCCATGTCTTCTGGAGACATTTCTTTATATTACAGGGTTGTTGTAAACATCTAGAGACTGTTCACTTCCCTCTCTAGAGAGGATTTTTTACCTTAAAGGGCAGAGCCCTCTCCCCCATTCCTGGAGGGGTGAAGGGACAGATATACTTGTTCTATTTAAATCCCAAGTCTCAGTTATTTTTTCATTTTATTGTCAGAGAGTACACTCTTGCCAGAGACAGAAAAAGAGAGAGAAAACACCCTCCAGCAGGGTGTGGTCACCCTGCACTCCTTTTTCCTCCATGGGGGGGGGGGCGGGGCGAGGGCGGAGGGGCGGGGCGAGGGCGGAGGGGCGTGGCCCCAGGTAAGGAGCGACGTGGAGCCACGAAAGGGAGTGCGCAGAGGTGAGAGAGGAGGCGCGCTGAGGAGAGAGCTGTGGCGAGTGCTCTGAGAGTGGGAGGCTGAGGTGAAGACCCTGAGGCGGAAGAGGGGTACTGAGGAAAGTGGCTGAGGTGGGCGAGTGGGGACGAGCAGATGCACATCTTGATCGAGATCCTCGTGTTTGGAGGACGAATGTGCGGGTCCCTGGACCCTGCCCCGGGCTTCTCTTTCCACTCGAAGTGTTTCGCACCTGGCGCCCTCGTCGGTCCCTGCTACCTCGGTGTCCCTAAGTTCCCTCTCCGCGATGCCTCGCTTGCCATGTGCCACCCTCCTGTCTGTGACTGAGACACCCAAGGTCCATTCAGGATGGAGAGTAATTTTTCGTCGTCTTAACTTGAAGTTTTAAATACACCACAGAAGCCAAACATATTTGAGTTCAGTTTTTAAAATAGAAATTTGAGGCCAACCTTCGTGCCAGCAGAGCCATCGCTGGCAGCGTCATCCTCCTCCCCTTAAATGGAGACTGACTGTTGCGGAGAGTCATGAAACATTTGAAAGAGCATCTGTCGAGGTGGAGGCTGTGATGGATCTTGGACGAATATCTGTGCAAACAGTTCTTTGGGTTCAAGACCTAGAACAGGGCGACCCTTTTTCTCCTGTCTGAATCATTTCGCTGCAATAAATAGCAAAAATCCCCACAGTAACAGTTGGCATTTTGTAAGACTCACCCCCACCCCTGCAGGTGGATCGTTTAAAAAGTCAACAAATAACTGCTATGGCGCTCCAAAATCTGTTATTTTCCAGAAACATAGCCTGTCCTTCTTGTTATATGGAAATTAATGTTCAGTTGGAGGAGGAACTGGTTAGCGATGACAGGCTTTCACTCTGAAGCCTCACCTAAAGTAATTATAGTAACTTTTGAACAACTTGTTTGAGGAAGACATCAACAGTGCACAGAGAGCTGCAAAGAGCACAGCAAGATGATTTAGGGGAATATAACATATGTAGTTTGGTGTAGTGACAGCTGGGAGAGAGAAATGTTCATAATATTTGAAGGTTGTGTGCAGTACACTTAAAGAAAGAAACGGAAACCAGCTGAGTAATGACATATTCATGAAGTAAGGATTAAAATCTTGTTTGGCTATCATATTGACAGATCTACAATTTTAAAAATGTTTAAAAAAGAAAACACAACAAAATCTGGGGGTAGTTAAAAAGTGCACATAAAGACCTCTCCACTTAGATCAGGACAAAAGAAAAGATTTGTCTTTCATATCATGTAAAAATTCTCAATATGATGAGGGTGGCATTTCAGATCTGTAGGGAAGCGATGAATTCAGTGAATGGTGTTGGAACAACTAGGTAGCCATCTGGAGAAAAATAAAATTGGAACCATACTTTACACCTTATACCAAAATAAATTCCAGAGAAATAAAAAAAGATTAAATCTGAACAATAAAAGCACTAGAAGAAAATATAGAACAATTTTTAAATTATTTCATACTAACATCTTTTTAAGTATGAAAAAAAAAAAACTCAGAAGCCATAACAGACTGTTAGTTACAACTATATTTTAAAATGCTGGGGCGCTGGACTCCCACATGGCCTACCATCATTCGAGACCCAGATCACACCAGCTTTGCACCCTATGGCAAAAATCTTAAAGGGGGAAAAAAAAGAATAAAATGCTACTTTCCTATCCACGATGCAGAGCATGGCAAGTCAGAGCTTTTGTGTCAATTACTAACCTAATAATATAACTTGCCAGTGTTTAAAATCCTTCAGCGAGTCCACGATGTCTATATAAAAATCTTAAATTTAGTGTCATTTTTAGGATAGCCTAAGAAATGAAGAATTAGGCAATGGGATTACAAAGACTGGAATTTTAAACCATTACGCTTTACTGCCCCTCTGTGGACAACCACCTTATAACCAAATAAAAACAGTTCTCCACATGCAGTTAGGCTTTGGCAGACTGGTGCTTGCGACTACATTAATATATTATTGGAATTTCAAGAACTCATATTTGAAAATGCTGTAGCAGAGAA